AGAAAATGAAAAGTTAAGGGAAAATGAAATTTATGTGAAAATAATAAATAAATAAAAAAAATTAAATTAAAAATAAATTTTTAGTTTATTTTCTTTTTCTCTTTTTTTTTTAAATTAAATTTTTGTACAATCAATCAATCACGTTTTATTATTATTATTATTTACTTTAAATTATATTTTAAAAAATAATAATAATACATAAACTTTAATTTATTCGGAATGAACAATTTTTGTTGTTGTTGTGTGATTATCACAAAATAAGTTTTTTTTTTTTCGTTAAGTAGTCATCAATAATAATAATAGTAAAAGTTAATGTTACATAAAAGTTTTAACAATTATTATTATTAATAAGAAGGTGGTCTGTAAAACATAATAAAAATTACGTGACATTGTTTTTATTGCTTGTAGTCAACGATAAATTATATAAAAACGAGTCAGTTGGTTGTTTTTTAAATGATTGTTAAAACAAAAAAAAACGTTTAATTAAATTTTTTTCCTTTTAATTTATTTTATCCAAAAAAAAAAGTTAAAACGACAAAAAATAAATTAAAAAAAAAAAACAAATTTAATTTACGAGCATTTAACTCTTTTCAAGATAAATGAAAAAATTATTATTATTATTACTTGACGTAAATAAATAGATAAATAATAATCATAATAAAAATAAAAATAAAAATAAAAACAATTTTCGTTACATAACTAACCCTTATGAGTGTTAATTATTTTTAAAATAATAATAATTCACGGTCGTTGATGGAAGAAAAAAAAACAAAAATGGCGGATTTTTTTATGTATTCGTTTATGTATATACGAGTTATTTATTTTTTTTTTTTAAACAAATAATAATAAAATAATTTAACAGTTCATCCTTTTTCATCTTTGGTTTCATCTTTTATTTGAACACTTAACAGGCTTTTAATAGTATATATAAATAAATTTTTTTTTTTTTTGTGTCAGTCTTCATCGTAAAATAGAAAGAAAAGCCCGTGAGATAGAGAGAGATAGAGAACCGAGTAAAATCTTAATCAGTTCTAAACGGTAACAAAACCCACTTGAGAGAAAAATAACAAATTACGTTTAATTAATTTCAACTAGACGGCCTGGCCAGGATAATTGGCTTAAATACTGACGGTTGAGAATTCTTTTGCGGAGGTGACGGTCCGGAGGATTTTGGTGACCTCACGGGTTCTGGACTAGAACTGCAACTGGAGGATGCGGTATTTGCAGAAGACTGATTTGCAAGATTTGCCGCCGCCGCAACGGCTAATTGGTGTTGTTGCAATATGTGATTTTGCATTGCCGTATTTGTAGAATTTGCTGCTGCTATCGTTCTCAGTGTGTTGTAAAAATCGTAAGGAGTTGTTGGCGTCGTCGCCGCCGACGTTGTCGTTGACCCCGATGAATTATTTTGAAAGACTGGATGACCGGTGTTTAGTCCGGGACGGAATTGATTGTAATTGGCTGGACCTTCTGCAAGTAGTCTTTCCATAGAAAAAGCACCGCTCGATATCGGTGTCGGTTTTGATATTCCGGGAGGCATCAATCCGGAATATGGATAACCGGGAGGATATCGGTACATCGGATTGTAATATAATTGCGATAGTTGCGATATACCCCATGGATATGGTCCTCCAGAACCAGCTGGTCCCAATCCGCTCGAATATAATCCTGCTGCCGCTCCTAAAACAACCGTTCTTTTGAATGCTGCCAATCGACTTCTGCTAGCTGCCGTCGAACGTCTTCTTAATTTTCCTGTCGTTCCACCAATGAAAACATCTTCGCTCGATGGATCTAACATCCAATAATTACCTTTACCCGGATCGTCGTAATGTCTCGGAACTTTCACGAAACACTTATTTAAACTTAAATTATGTCTTATTGAATTTTGCCAACCTTGTTTGTTTTCCCGATAATAAGGAAAATTTTTCATTATAAATTCGTAAATTCCATTTAACGTTAAACGTTTTTCCGGACTTTGTCTTATCGCCATCATTATCAACGCGTTATACGAATACGGTGGTTTTTCATTTTTCTTTTTTTCACCATTTTTATCGTCTTTTTCCGATTCGATTTTTGCTAAAACTTCACTTTCATCAAGTTCCGCTTCCGTTTGCGATGAATTTCTATTAGAACAATCTAACGGCGGCGGAGTTCCGCCGCCCGTCACGTCCAAATCCGAATCCGATTCGCTACTACCGATTTCCGACGTTGAATCTTCTTCTTCTTGACGACGTGTAATCATCCTATTATTATTTGAATAATTCAAAGCTGATGCTAAAGGATGTTCTGCATCCGAAGGAGATCTTTTCTTATCCGAAAAATTCAACGGGAGATCAGAATTGACGGGAGACGAGGTTGTCGTAAATGTCGTAGTAACTGGATAATTAGGACTCGGAGCTCGAGACGCTGTTTCCGGTAAAATAGAGCTGATGCTGAATGATGATTTAAGTGGAGCTCTTGCCATAGTTAAAGGTTGAAATGGCTCTTCGCTCTTAACCATATTTGCATCTGGAAGACAAAACCAAATTATTATTATTATTATTACTTAATTAAAAAATTTTTCGCAAAAATTAAATTAACACGTAATTCTTTTCTTTTTTATTCATTTTACTACTTTTTTTTGTCTTTAACCGAATTAAAATTTAACTAATCTATCAAAAACAAACATAATTGTTGTTGGTTGTTCTTTCATTGAATTTCGCACGAGATGTTAAAAAAAAAAAAAACACAACAAACGAACAATAACATAAATAATTCATGTAAACTAAACAATTCTAATAATCATTAAAACTAAAAATTATTAATCCGACGTGTAAATAAATAATAATTTTTTTTATTTCCGTACATCAAAGAAAGAAACAAACAAAATGATGATAATAATAATAATAATAGCGTAACAGTAATTAATTTTTTATAATTAATAAGAAAAAAAAAATTCGACGTACCTTTTGTCAAAATTCAGCAATTAATCATAAATTATTTTTAGCGACGTTTTTGTTTTTTTCAATTATAAATTCCAAAATAAATAAAACGTAAAAAAAAATGTTTTAAAACAACCGAACAAACACAAACACAAAATAAAAAAAAATTTTATATCCAAAAGTGCGTTCGTTTAAAAAAAGTAAAAACATAAACACGAAACGTATGATCGGTCACTTACTCACTCACTCACGCAAAACAACACGACAAACACTTAAACGCAAGAGTGTGTCTGTGTGTGAGAGAGAGATAGAGAAATAAATAATAATAATAATAGTACAACAAAAAAAAAAAAAAAAGGAAAAACATGTAAACACCGATGAGGTTCAATCCATACAACTAGACAGTTCTCATCCGACTGTTTTTAAAATATTATCGGAAACACAAAAGCAAACAAAAAAAAAAAAGAGAGAAGCGGAAATATCCCTCTTTCGTGTTAAACCCAATTAGAAAACGGCCATCCCTGCCTTGAAATTGTTAACAACCAATCAGATTACTTTATTTTTTATTTTTTTTGTTTGTATCCTCGAATGAAAATCAAGTTTGTTTAAAAAAAAAAATTTATTGTTTGTTGTCAACAAACAGTTTAGCTTTTACTTATGGAGGGTAGAGCGAGCTATTGCATTTTGTTTTCCTTACGTTCTTTTTATTTTTATTTTTTTTTCGAAGTTTCTTTCTTGCTCTTTGCCGTAGGTTGTTTATGTAATTTTTTTTTTAATGTGTATACTTGTATGTGCATACGCAGACACGTATCGACACCGCACACGCACGACCATACCCTCACTATACACACATGTATTTTTCTCACCTTATATCACTGTCCTTTTTTTCTCCTGAAGTAAATTTTTTATTACTTTTACCCGACAGGATTTTTTTGTTTGTTTTTTATACTTTTATAATTCATTACGTTTACATTATCATCATCATCATCATTATTATTTTTTAAATTTTATAAATAAATAAATAAATAATAATATCTAAAATGTTCTTTTAAATTGTCGTAATTTTTAATTAAATTTATTTTAATCGATTACAAATTACTCATTTTAATTTCTTATTATTATTATTATTAATTTTTTCGTTGAAAGTAATCAAAATACTTAAAATTTTATTTATTAATTATTATTATTATTATTATCATTTGGAAAATAATTATTTATTTATTTTTTTCCCCGTCGGCGAATATTTTAAAATAAAAATAAGAAAAAAATCAATAAATGTTTTTTTTTTTTTTAAATTTTGGTTGTTGTTTTTACATTAAATTATTTAAATAAATAAATTATTAACGGTAATTATTTAATAAATAAATAAATAAGTTATTAAATAAATTTTTGCATTAATAAATTTACATAATTTTTTATTTGACGCCGAGAGAAAAAATAAATATTACATAAATAGAATTTATAAAAAATGCAAAAAAAATTATTATTATTATTATTGATTAGGTATTTATTTTTTCTATTTTTTATTAAAAATATTATTAACTTATTTATTTATTTATTAAATAAATAAATAAGAAACTTATTAATTTTTTTATAAAATTATTTATTTAATTTTTACTTTCTCGTAAATTTTATTATAAAAAAATCAAATAATAAAAAAAAATGAACGTAAATCGAAAAGTTATGTAAAAATTAATAATATTAATAATAATAATAACTATTAAATAAAAAAATACATAAATAACTTTTATTAATAGTTAATAATAAAGTTAATAAAATAAAATAAATTTTTTTATTTTTTTTGGTGCGCCGACGGTTTTTTTTAATTTCAGGTAACGTAAAAAATTTGCGACGGTTAAAAATAAATAAATAAAATATTACGTAATAATAATAATTATTATTATTATTATTTATTAATAATATTATTGTTGTTTTAAATATTAACCGGAAGTAAATAAATAAATAATTTTATTATTATTTATTTTACGGTTTTAAAATAAAATTCTCGTACCCGGAGGGGAAGAAAAAATAACTTTTTTAAAGTTTTTTTTTTTTTCGTTGTTGGATACCTGAAAAAACAAACGAAAAAAATTTTTTTTTGGTAAAATTTTGACCACCGTCGGGTCATTAGTAAATACAATCAAAATATGAATTTTTTTTTTTTTTAAATAAAAATAAAAATAAATAAATAATACCACCCATAAATTTTTCAATTTTTTTTTTTTTATGACACAATACCTGAAATTTTGAAATTAGTTTTTTTTTTTTTTTTGAAAAAATAATTGGCTTATGTGTCGTCGACCCCTGTATGTGTAATTCTTAAGGGTTGTCAACCCCGTTCATCTCGTAACGGTTTTCGTATAAACCCGCTTTATGGTTTTTTTTTTCTTTTTTTCTATTGATGATTCCGTTTTGTTACTTTTAAAAATTTTTATTTTTAATTTAAACAACAAAAAAAAACAGTAAACATTCTTTAAAAAAAAAAATGGCGGAAAATCGATTTAATAATTATTTTATAAAATAATATCTTATTAAAAAAGGGGGATGAGGGATGAAAACAGGGTATGTGAGATCGAATTTTATAAAATAATATTTTTATTTATCGATTTTTTTTTCTTTTTCGAAACGTTAAACGTAAAAATCATAAGATTGACATAAAACCTTTAAATTGAAAATAACCAGGAAGAGGGGGAGGGGGAGAAGGGGAACCAGGGGTGAAAAAAAAATTCGTCGTGTGAATAAAATTTAATTTAAAAAAAATAAAACCCTTCGTCAATATGAAATTGAAAAAAAAAATGTCAGAAAATTATTCCAAAATATTTTGATTGTGCAGTCAATAAGCCCCCGGATTAGAAAAAAAATAACAATAACTGAAAATTTATAATAAAAATAACTACAACCCCCTTACTACCACCACCACTACCACTACCACTACTCAAAATTTATATTATGTAATATATATTAATATTTAAAAGTGTAACAAATTTAAAACTTTTAAACGTCAGAAAATACAAAATTTTTTTTTAAACATGATTGATAACCGTGTAAAAAAAAAAAAACGTCATAGATTATTATTATTATCATGGCGACAATCGACAATGTTTTTATTTGTGATAATAATAATTTTTTTAATATACATTTTATTTATAATATATATTTAAATAAATAAATTATGCATAAAGTTTCCGTTTCCGTTTTTTCATTTCATTGTCGCAAATGCGATTTGAATTTTTTCTTTCTATTAGTATTATTATTATTATTATTAGTTTAAACCTTTCGGTAATTTATTTATAAATGCGGTAAATTTATTCGATTCGTTTAACATTCAAAAAAAAAATTTAAACAAATGATAATGATAATAATGAATTAAAGGAGTGATTGAGATGGAATCGATTTTTTTTTTCCATACGTAAAAAGAGGAGGGACGGGAAGAGAGGGGGGAAATGTGTCCAGAAAATATTTATAAAAGATGAAAGGATCAACCTGGAGTGTTGAAAATACAACACGAGAGAGAGAAAGAAAGAGAGAGAGAGAGAGAGAGCTGGTTAAAAAATAATTGGATAAAAGATTTTTTTTTTTTTTTAATTGTAAATATTTAGTCGTTAGTCTTTCTTTGCTGTTAGAAGAAAACCTTCTTTGATCTTCTATCGATTATTTACAGATTTGATTTCTTTTTTTTTTTTTTCTCTTCAATCGGAAATCGATAAACAGATCGATCGAAGATGGAAATTTTTCTTACGTCGTTTTTTTTTTTAAATTAAAAATTTGTTTCGTTTAAAATTTTTTTTTTTTTTTTTTTTTTTGACAAAGGAAAAATTAATTTTTTTTTTTTTTGTAAATTATTTTGGGGGTTTTCCCCGCGAAAATTCTTTTGAGAAAAAAAAAAAAATAACAGCCGAAGAAAGAGGAAAAACAAAAACAAAAACAAAAAAATTTCTTTTTTAAAAATTGTTTGTTAAATTTATGGGTTTTTGTTTATTAAAAATTTAAAAGTTTATGTTTTGGCTTCTTTCATTTTCTTTTTTTTTTAAAAAATTGTTTTATTTGTTTACTAAATTTTTTGTTTGTTTTATTTTTTTTTTTTTTAAATTTCCGAATGGATTTTATTAAAAAAAAAAAAAATTCCTGTCGTTATTGATAAACTTACCGATAAAAACTAAAAAAAAAATTATTTAAATTTTTTCGTTTGTTTGTTTGTCGTCCTCGTCGTTGTTGTCGAAAATAAAATCTTTGATTATAACCGCAGTATAAAATTGTATTTACGCCATGTCAACAACAAACACGATGCCGGCCTCTAAATCGTCTTTGTTGTTGTTGTTGTTTAAGTAGGAAGTTGGTAAAGGAATAAAGCAATCGTTTGTTATCCGGTTGTTTCCGTATATATTGTTTACGAAATGATGATGAATGAATTTATGTTTTATACTCTTCTCTGAGTTTTTTTTTTCCTGTAATTATCAAATCAAATTTTATTTTATTTATAAAAAAGGTTTTTGTTCGTACAAACTTTCAAATTGCACCGTTTTCTACGTCACTATTAATAATAATAATTCGAAAACAAAATACCAACAGGAGAATAATT